CAAAAGAATTGGATTAATTTCTAACAAGTATGAACATCTTTCATATCACAGTCATTATATCCACTCTTAATATAAAAATATTGATTGTTGCAGGTTTAAACTCTTGTAAAGCAAATTTTGAAACCACGCAGTAACTGTACTGTACGTGACAGTTTTACTGGCAGCAGCTTTCAACAACATACTGAAATTCACTGTTAGAGAAGCAAGAGATTATCAACTAATACTGACCATAACCCACCAAGTAAATGAGAAATTTCAGGTTTGATTTGTAATAAATTTGCAAACATTTATGAAAACACATTTTCACTTTGTCATTACAGGTTATTGAGTGTAGACTGATGGGCAAAAATGGAAGCTTTATTCATTTAAACTTCTAATTTCTGAGGCCACTCTAGTATATTTATCATATTGTATCTGGGTTAATTATTTTTGACAATTGTATTTAATGTTTGTTTAATTCTGATTGTGTGACATCTTTTATCTTCTCATCTTTAATGCGAGAGCAGGACGGCTCTCTCGTTGTTGTTCAGCCACTTTGTTGCATCAAACTAGTCCTACAAACCTCATTCAAGCATTACACTGTGCAGCTCATTCAGGAGATTCATGTTTTCTGTTTTTTCAAGTATATTTTATATTTATTTTTGAAAACCATAACTGTGTAATGGAAGTCTATAAAAGGAATGATGATACACTGAGGTAAAAGTTTTGCTTTTACAGCTGTTTTGAGACTTTATCAGTGTGTCAAGTGATCAGGTAGAATGTGGAGCAATAGCTTTACAGACCAGGGCCCTCGGCTCCAAACATAACTTCACTGTATGTGTCACAGTGACAATAAACAAAGCTTCTTCTCATTCATCCCCCGGTCAAATCGACAATAAACAAAGCTTCTTCTCATTCCTCCCCCTGTCAAATCCCTTAAGTTCATATGCAAATCCTGTTATGCTTCACAAGACTGTTAGCACATCATTAATGTAGCTTGAGGGGACAGGAAAATAGGACTGACAAGATCACATGATGCAATTACATGTGATGCAAAGTGTGTTTCCTTGAACACCCAGCCTCTGCTGTGTAAACAGAACCAGAGCTCTCTGAGTGTGCTTGGCAGAGCTGTGGGCGTAGTCCTTTTCAAGGTCATCATCTCTGCTTGGTTTCCAGCTTCTTTTGACTCTGGACTAAACTGACCCCAAACACTGTTATGTTTGTATCCTGTTTTGTGCTTTTTTTAATCTGTGATGCTTGTTACTGGAGGCACTAGGAAAGTTACCACAGACAAAACATCAACGTGCATGTAGGAAAATAAGAACAAGATACTCTCTCTCTCTCTCTCTCACACACACACACACACACACACACAGAAACAGAAACAGAAAGACAAAGCATTTTTAATATTAAATTTGATTGTACCAATCAAGTCCAGAAGTATCTCTCTCTTGTGATTTCCACTGGGGAACAAAGTGAAGATGCATGTGTAGACGCCTTCGTCCAGCAATGTGACATCAGATATCTGGAGAGTTCCATTGTTGTCCTTAATGCTCCCAATGAATTTAAATCGGTCATCTTTTCCATTGACAAACTGTGGACCATTTTTGGGCAGGATAGTAAAGAAATTGTCATTCTGAGGTTTTCCTCTGGTCTTCCTCTGCCATGAAATCTGGGTGATGTCCTCCGTGGTGTCAATGAGTTTGCAGGGTAAGGTAACAGTCCCTCCTTGCACCACCACCCTGTTTTCTCCAATAACCTGGAGAGCTGCAAGGTGGACAGAGTCTCATCAGGCTATCGGATACAACCCAGAAGGCACAAACACAAGTAACATTTTTTATCTGAAATCTTGATGTTTTGTCTCCTCTGCATTATATTGTGTTCTTGTTGTTGCTTTAAGTGCCTTAGATTTGTTTTACTACCTATTTACATGTATTATTGCTCATCTACTTTATATTTCACTTGTATTGTGTGGCATTCATGTGGACGGCAAAATAAGAATTTCATTGTACATGGAAACATGTCTCCTAACTGTGCATATGACAAATAAACACTTTGACCTTTGACCTTGACCTGTGTTTTGTGAAATGCAGTGGTGGAAGAAGGAAGAAGTAGTCATATTATTTAAGTAAAAGTAGCAACACCACAATGTAAGAATACTCTGTTACAAGTAAAGGTCCTGCATAAAAATATTACTTAAGTAAAACAGCAGAAGTCTTAATATCAAAATAAACTTAAAGTACCAAAAGCAAAAGTACTCATTATGCACAATGGCACATTTCACATTAATAATACCTGATTATTGGGTAACACTTTACAATACAGTACATTAAAATGTGTGTAGTTTCTAGGGAACAATTGAGGAACACACAAGTAACGCATGAGGAATGAGCTGTGTCGATCATAAGTACATCCCTAATAACTTCTGATGTTATGAATATGCCTCCATATTAGTTAGTGGAGAACTGACTGGGAGACACTATTCCAGTGAATTATTAGCTCCTAATTACTACACATTCTGTATGACTGACTGATCTTTCGTGCAAGAAATAAAACACATAAAGGAAACTTGGCTGTTCACCCCTTATTTCTCCAGACTCACTTTAGAATTTCCTCCACAGTAGTTACTAGTATTTCATTACATGCCATTTATGACGCCATGCGCTGATCAATTATCAGGAGTGTTTACTGAGAACAGGCTTGTGTTCCCTTTTGCCTAAAATATCAATTCAAAATTGATTTGGTGGAATTTTTGTTTTTTATTATAGTGTACACCTAATTACCTTACATTTGTGAATCATGTGGAGGACCTGTACACCTCATGGGTCAAAAGGAAGGCAGAGAAGATCATTGCAGACCCCTCACACCCGGGAAACAATCTGTTTGAACTCCTCCCCTCTGGACGGCGTTACAGGTCACTGTGCGCCAAGACGACCAGGCAAAAGGACAGTTTCTTCCCCCGAGCTGTCACTTTGATGAACACTTGACCCACGACAGTATGACTGGACAATAACCCTCAGTGCAATACCTTTCAACAATGCAATACATACATATCAGTTGTTATGAGACATTGTTGGGCATCAAAGGACTGAAGCATAAATGATAAATGTCTCCTGCTCCTGTTGAACAGAACTGATGAAG